TACATGTTTCTGTATGCACTCGCTAATGACGTTATTTTATTTTAACAGAGGACATGGAACAACAATGAAAATCTCCGATTAACTGGAACGTTTCAATGAAATAAAATGTTTGCAATCGATTTGGGTGTCTGGGTTTTCTTTGTTTAGAAGTGAAAGTTTGATGTAACGATCCACGTGATAAAAGCCGACTATCAGACAAGTCACCGAAACTGACCATTTGATGCAATTGACTCCGTGGTTCCACGTATGTTATTTGGAAATTACTTTACCCCCTGGTAATAGTTTATATATTAAAAGGCCCTGACTGACAAGCATCATTGGAACATTTTTTTCGTCCGTGGCAGGGAACTAACTTCAGGAACTGTGTCGTCGTTGGCACGTGTATAGTGAGTGAGTGAGTGAGTTGGGTTTTACGCCGCTTTTAACAGTATTCCAGTTATATCGCGGCGTGTCAGCTTAATGTGGGAAGGAAAGCCCGGAGTGATGCAGGTCTCAGACGTTTACCACTTCGGTGAAACCCACGAGCACGGGTATGGTGCTGACAAACCTAGAAACATAATCGGGGCGAACCGGGATTCGAACCCACAATCATAGGTTTCTGGCGTGCCCAAGGGACGCAACTCTGCACAGCGAATCGCGGCGCCTTAGACGACTGGGCCACCCGTGCCCCCGGCACGTGTATAGAGAGTTCGTAAGCTAAAGCATGTATACATAGAAAAAAAACATATATTGTGTTTTGGTATTCATCCATCACCATTATCACTCAAACCTGTAGACCATGAGTGAGTGAGTGAAGTGAATGTTATCAATATTTCCACAATTATAGTATTGTCTATAATTATTTAGGTATGTATCAGACAAACGCTATACCATAATCAGGTTGAATCTGGGATTCAACAACACATAATACAATATTTTATCAAACGGCTAGCACGGTACAGGGAATAGCTACACCTTACTTTACTTTGCTACCTATGATTTAAGTCACAGAGCAGTATGTTGAGACGTTTGGTAATGCTATTAACTAACTAAATAATATAATTGAAATGACTATTTAAATGTATTGTACTCAAGTGAACGACGACGTTTTGCATTATACAGTAATCATTTTAAATGATAGTTATGACTAAGCTCTGCGCATGTATGACAATCCAATAAAAGGAGCATTCGAGAATACTTAACAACATGAATGATTGCTCAATCCAGTCCTAGTGCTTTACACAAACACACACAGATCATGATCAGGACGCCGCAGTGTTATTGAAATTGGCCTTGGTCATTCTCAATGTCAGTTATATATATTGTATATTTATCAAACTATCTAATTGCTTTGAGACCTATGCCCAGAAGGCGCATGCTCATTGGCAAGTCTGGTGATGCTGACTTCCGAACTCTGTACGTCCCCAATTGATTGTCATGGGCTGGACCAGCCTGAGGTTTTTATTTGGAAGATAGCTACAGCTTGTGTGTAAAAGTTTCCGAGGTACACCCCTTTATCATCAGTCTTTGCAGCTTGCAGATCTGCTGCAGCATAAGACTGTCCTCGTAGACACTCGTTGGTGGGTGTGGAAAAGGGATGCTGAATCATGTTCCTTTCAAACATGGCTGCCCAACAACCGTGTTCAAAAAGACGACATAGAGATTCTGACAGTTCCTAGTCTGACAACCTCCATGGTCTAGTTGTAGAGCATCCGCCCAGAGAGCAGAAGGTCCGGGGTTCAATCCCCGGCCACATTATAGCAAAAGACGTTGAAAGATGGTACTTGTTGTTACCCAGCCTAGCTCTCGGCATTAATCGGCTAAAACAAGACTGGTCGGCTCGGAGTCACGATACTGTGTCTGAGTGGGGTATTCATGTTATACACTGCGGCATTGTGTCTCAGTGGGCTAGCACTATAAACTCGTCATTAGTCCGGACTAGAACAAGGCGCCACACACTCACATGCATGCACGTCGCTATATAAGTGCAATAATCTTTGACGCGACACTAAAACCCATTTAACCTCCCCTCCTCGTGTGATTATCTGACACGTTTCTTCATTATTGAAGCTTGTGAAAAGAAGCTTTTCAACTGAATCTATTTACACCGCTGTCTCCTTGTAGAGTATGCATGGAGACGGAAAAGTGTTTATCTGCTCAAATTAACAAAAGTTTGTCAATGTCAAGTTTCCTGCACAGTGCACAAGACACTGATATTGTGTAAGGGCATTGCCTGTGACCCAGCACGCTGCCTGACCAAAGATAAAATAGTAAATGAACTTGTTCAACACTATATTTTCAACACTTGTGTTGAATGGTCACTTTTTCTGGACGATTTCAACATTTCTTGTCGAAATATTATGGATACGATCTAAAGACAGCTACAACTATGTCTTAACGAAATTTAAAAAAAGGGCCAATGAAGATGGCTTCAAGTTTTCCAAATCCAAAACAAACAGTATTTACTTTTGTCGTGAATGAAAACCTGTCACAGTAAAAGAGAAGGCCCAGTCCTGGTTCTCATATTTGCCCATCATCTGACATTCTTTCCACACATCCATTTTTTTAAATGTTAGACCCTCGCTGATTGGCTGATTAGAAAGTTCACCTGACGCGACCACCTGTCTTAGATCGGTCTTCACGCAGAGTGGTATCGTATCGTGGGTTAAAGGTCTGATTTTAATGGTATTATTGCAATGATACGTCTGTGTTCGAGGTGAGTGAGGTACAATTTAGGTGGTATCATTAATTCCTTATCCATATAAGTTAAACAAATCTCTTTATGGAACACATATTCGGTTGATCGCCATAAGATTCTATCATGACAAAACAAATACAAAGATATCGTTATGATAGATGTGATGTCTGATGACTTTTCTGTGTATTGAATGTTAGAATTCAAGAATCAGTAGCAATCACACATCGTCTTTATTTCCGAGCTTGTGTCCTTAAACAATACAAACATTTTACCACTATACTTAAATCATCTAACAGGGATAATAATAGAAAACTGCACAGCTAATACAACACTCAGTTCGCGCTGGAGAAATTGAAGCGACACTGGCATGTATTGTAAGTACACTTGAACGTTATAACTTCCACATTTAGAAGTCGGGGAAATGGGACGTCGTAAACAAGACTTGATAGAATAAAGTCAAATGAACGCATTATATATGTGCAAATATACAATTTACATATTACTCATTTAGTCACTGAATGGTTCATCACGTGGTATATATATTTTTGTTAATGTTACAACCGCAGAAGGTCTCAGAAAGAGGTGCGCTATCAAATGATGTGGATAGGGATAATGCGATAAGTCATGTCATACGTATTTGAAGTAATCAATTTGGTGTAAAGGGGAATAAAAGAAAGATCCTCAGGACAGTTTGTAAATTATTCACGAATGTCTTTTGTAGATCTCTACTACCAAATGCTGTCCAATGGAAACATAAAGAAGAAAGTGTTTTGAGTGTGGTACTGCGGACCTCTTGATATTTCAAGCAATTGAATCCGATATTTAACTTTGTTAGACTGTAGCTTAGTATACGAAAATATAAACATATGTAATACAAGGAGACATTTTCTTTCCAAATTGTTGAATATGAATATCCAGTTCGAGTCACATATGCAAAAAAAGATATTTGAATCAAACAAATAGCCCTTGATCACGTCAACATTGTGTGAATTTTTCTTAATTTATTGTCCATTTGCCGACATAGATTTGCTGAAACAGTATTCAAACATCGACTGTAGTTTTCTGTTTCGTTGTTGTCATCCTGGTTCCAGAATGAGACAATACTCGTGATCGAGCATTATTCTAAACAACACCTGTAAGAAGATAGGGACGGTCGGGTAGCCTAGTAGTTCATTATAAAGCTTTCCCTCGTCACGCCGAAAACCCGGGTTCGATTCCCGTTATGGGTACAATGTGTGAAGTCCGTTTCTGGTGTCCCCCGCCGTGATATTGCTGGAGTGTTGCTAAAAGCAGCGTAAATTCATTTCATGTGTAATGCTAGACAAATAAAACCAAATGGCAAGCTATTACAAATACCTAACACCCTAAACCTTATAATCCTAATAATATATAATATTTTTAGCGGCATTGTAAAATACACACGAATGAGTGAGATTATCACAGTGTTGTATGTTTTGTTTTGTTTGTTTGTTGTTGTTGAATGCCGCCCTCGGCCATATTCTAGCTTTATGACGGCGGTCTGTAAATAATCGAGTCTGGACCAGACAATCCAGTGATTGACATCATGAACATCGATCCACGCAATTGGGATCGATAACTTGCATCAACCAAGTCAACAAGTCTGACCACCTGATCCCGTTGGTCGTCACTTACGACAAGCATAGTCGCCACTTACGACAAGCATAGTCGTCACTTACGACAAGCATAGTCGCCACTTACGATAAGCATAGTAAAGGTAAAAAGTTGTGACTATACATGACAATACAACCGAACTTAGGCTTTAGTTCGAGGATGATGGGAAAGGAAAGCTAATATTTCCATTTCTGAGCATTATGTCTTGTAGTCGTACGGCGTGATATTTCAGGAATATTGAAATGTGGCGTAAAACAAACAAAGTGGCGTTAAACCATACTCACTCACTCTTGTAATCGTTTTCATACATCTGCTTCCCTAAATATTTTCCTTGAGGCATTTATTAACCGCAGGCAAATGACATGTGTACATTGTAACAATAACATGTAGAATTGCACGAAGTGAAGGTCTTGTGAGGTAACATGATCGAACAGGTACATTATAACATACGAGATAACACAAGAAATTAGGAACTGAATGGTAAGCACTAAAATAATGCATACTTAGGCAATTCAGATTTAATCATTCCATTTTATTGTTCAGCATATGACATTACTTGTTCCATGTCTGTGATAGCAATCTTAGTCAAATTTAGTAGTTGTGATGTTTATTAATATTCTTTTATGTTCCGTCATTTCAAAAGTAATTACGTGTGAGGGAGCAGTATAATTGTTTCTCGGTTTTCAGTATATATGTATCTCCATGTATGTGCTCATTCAGTCCAACATTTCTGGGTGAATCTCAAGATCTAGACTGTGCATCAAAGTAAGTATTTGAATTATTTCTATAATACATGTCAACACATCGTTTAAGCATGATGCAGTTAATGTTTGTAGCTATAGCATGGACATACCTGTATTTTCATTAGCAGCACAAAATCATTTAATCCATATTAACATTGTACAACACACATATGTGTGTTGTGTGAGAGTCTTTTGATAATGTATGTTGTTGCAATATTTGTTCTATACGAGATGCGTGCGACTGTCAGTGACTCCTGTAAAAGATTAGTGAGGTGAGGTGAAATGGGGTTTAACGTCGCGTTCAAGATTATGGCACTTTTGTAGCGAGGTGCATGCATGTGTGCATGTATCTGTGAGGCTGCTTGTACTAGTCCGGGCTGATGCTGATTTTATAGTGCTAGCCCATTGAGTTACCATGCCACAGCTTAACATGATTACCCAACTCAGACTCCGAGCAAACCAGTCCTTGTTTTAGCCCATTAATACCGAGCGCCCGGCAGGGTAACAACAAGTTTCATAATTTAACGTATTTTTGTATGAAGAGTCCGGGGATCGAACCCACGACCTTCCGCTGCCTGGGCAGACACTCTATCCGCTAGACCACGGAGGCAATGTAAAGGATTAGTTTTTGTTGACTTAGCAATATCCCAGTTATATATAAGCGACCAGTACATCACCTTAGCTATATGAGCAGCGATCAACAAAGTCAACAGTCAAAGTCAATAGTCAGTCAACAGAAACGCCGAGCCAGACTCCCTCTTACGACCAACATAGGTCAACGTGGACTTATTCTTACCCTGTATACGACGGGGACTTTGCACTGCAGGGGTTGGGGGTATAAATTGTACAAAGCTTGTGTCTAGTGAGTGATTACGTTGGGCTTAAACGACGCTTTCAATCGTATTTCGTTTGAGCACGATGTGTTAGCTTGATGAAAACTGACGCAGATACCAGATGTTTGCGGATGTGGTGAACTCAGCGATCGCGAGTATGTTACACGAACCGAGAACATCGGGGCGAATATGGGTTTACAGTGAGTGATTTCACTTTTAAAGTCGCAACTGTAGTATCTTTGCTTTAAATTAAAGCAACGCGAGCAATAACATTTTTTGTATTATTTGATCATAAAGTACATGTACAGTAATGCAGGAGGGCAATTATCACAGATCCATTCAAAACAAAGCCCGAAAGATACAAGCAAAGTATGTCTGGACAACCACATGAACTACAATGAAAGCATGTGATTCAGACAGATTTTCACATTTAATGATGAAGAAAATCACTGTGACATGTGTACAATCAGATTCCTGCTTAAACGGTTAAAACATCTTTTAGATTTGATGCCTAACGTTATGAAGAGATGGGATTAGAATCCATGATAATTGAAAACTGGTAGGCATATGGGATGCTTCTGCAAAGCTGAATGCGGTGGCTTAGCTCATGGTCACTTGTATATAGCAATGGTCAAACACTCAAGACATTTAACTCTATCGTGTATATAAATTAATTCCTTTTTAAGATGAGAAGCTTCATCTTTGCTCTCCTGCTGCTTGGGGTTGTGGTCCAGCCGACTGATGCTTTTTGGGGTGCAATTCTCAAGATCCTGATGAAATTTGGGACAACGCTGCTTGGAAGTAATATTAACTTAGGCACATATCCATGTCCGAATATCTAAGAATTTGAATGTCTATCAAAGAATGTTTGTTGTCAAGACATTATAAATTTTACATGTTATCAGATGAATGATCCGTATTTCGCATTCCTAGGTATAACATGCTTCGTATGTTCAGGTGTACGTTCAAAGCTGGACCTCCTCTTCTACATTAGTTCCAACGTATTTTATAGAGGTACCTTATCACACTAAATTAAAGAGCTTGAGGCAGAAATCGAAACGTTTAGTGAAAATGTCCGTCTGTTTTTAAGTAACTTCTTCTATCGTCTACTTCGGTACCGATTTAAGTAATTAAATACAGAAAATACATTTCTTCGTATTTCATGCCAACCTTATATGATGCTTCCAATTATGGACGGGGCGGTCGGGTAGCCTAGTGGTTAAAGCGTTTGCTCGTCACGCCGAAGGCCCGGGTTCGAATCCCGAATTGGTTACAATGTGTGGAGCCCATTTCAGGTGTCCCCCGCCGAGATATTGCTGGAATATTGCTGAAAGCGGAGTAAAACCATACCTCACTCCAATAATGGTCATGTCGTCAGAAAGGATCTCAATAGCTGATCGTAGCCGTCGTTCTTTCACGTATAGTCAGAATTCTGAATAAATAATTAAATTCCACGAGGAATACAACCTATTTTGTAGAACAAACGTGGCATTCCATTTTGCAGGTACATGTAAATTTTAACATCATGATTCAAATAGTGAGAATTTATTTTTTGAACATTTGTGATCCCCACGCAGTTAAACAAATATCACTGTAAACGTGTTATAAACTAGTCCCTCTACAGTACTGGTTACCCAAACATGAAGTGACGTCTCAATAAAAATATGTTGCACAATAGATAACCATGATTGTTACCACTGTACAGATAAGCCCTAAAGATTCCGAGTCTTCAGCACCCATGCTTGTCGTAAGAGGCGACAAACGGGATCGGGTGGTCAGGCTCGCTAACTAGTCTGATGCATGTCATCGTATCCCAATCGATGCTCATGATGTCAATCACTGGATTGTCTGGTCCCAACTCGATTATTTACAGACCGCCGTCATATAGCTGGAATATTGCTGAGTGCGGCGTTAAACAACAAACAGACAAACAAACACACATAAGCTGACGCTATCCTTCTACTTGAAGCAACGATAGATTCGGAGGGTAAGCGTGGTGTTCAAGATGTTGACTCGAATGGAGATGGGAAGCTTGATATGGCCGAACTGAAAGCAGAGTACGGACAACTGGGCGCTCGTGAACTCATGCACTTTGCTGATTCAAATGGTAGGTTGTTTGTGTATGGATACTATTGCTACTGGATCCACTGTTAAGAGACAAGAGAACCGAGGATTACTGCCAAAGACGATTTCTATGCCCTTTCCCGAATGAATTAAATGTATCAAATGATTGACAATGATTCTCAATAGGTAACCACGTTCTTGAGGCTCAGGAGATTGTGGCATTGGAGCGATACGCAGACTCCCACACATAAGGTAAACATTAAGCATTACGTTGAATCGATATTAATTAGTGCTTTCATTGATTGAGAGCAAAATAAAAAAATCATACAAAATGGATCTCCTGCTGATATGTTCAATAATGATAATATTCTCGGTTTGCTATTGTCTGGCTACATTTAAGAGAAATGACATTGCGAACTATCAAAAATCACATGTGTTACGAGCTGGTACAGTGTATGTATGTGTATGGATACTAATACATGTTTCTGTATGCACTCGCTAATGACGTTATTTTATTTTAACAGAGGACATGGAACAACAATGAAAATCTCCGATTAACTGGAACGTTTCAATGAAATAAATTGTTTGCAATCGATTTGGGTGTCTGGGTTTTCTTTGTTTAGAAGTGAAAGTTTGATGTAACGATCCACGTGATAAAAGCCGACTATCAGACAAGTCACCGAAACTGACCATTTGATGCAATTGACTCCGTGGTTCCACGTATGTTATTTGGAAATTACTTTACCCCCTGGTAATAGTTTATATATTAAAAGGCCCTGACTGACAAGCATCATTGGAACATTTTTTTCGTCCGTGGCAGGGAACTAACTTCAGGAACTGTGTCGTCGTTGGCACGTGTATAGAGAGTTCGTAAAACTAAAGCATGTATACATACAAAAATACATGTATTGTGTTTTGGTATTCATCCATCACCATTATCACTCAAACCTGTAGACCATGAGTGAGTGAGTGAAGTGAATGTTATCAATATTTCCACAATTATAGTATTGTCTTTAATTATTTAGGTATGTATCAGACAAACGCTATACCATAATCAGGTTGAATCCATGATTCAACAACACATAATACAATATTTTATCAAACGGCTAGCACGGTACAGGGAATAGCTACACCTTACTTTACTTTGCTACCTATGATTTAAGTCACAGAGCAGTATGTTGAGACGTTTGGTAATGCTATTAACTAACTAAATAATATAATTGAAATGACTATTTAAATGTATTGTACTCAAGTGAACGACGACGTTTTGCATTATACAGTAATCATTTTAAATGATAGTTATGACTAAGCTCTGCGCATGTATGACAATCCAATAATAGGAGCATTCGAGAATACTTAACAACATGAATGATTGCTCAATCCAGTCCTAGTGCTTTACACAAACACACACAGATCATGATCAGGACGCCGCAGTGTTATTGAAATTGGTCTTGGTCATTCTCAATGTCAGTTATATATATTGTATATTTATCAAACTATCTAATTGCTTTGAGACCTATGCCCAGAAGGCGCATGCTCATTGGCAAGTCTGGTGATGCTGACTTCCGAACTCTGTACGTCCCCAATTGATTGTCATGGGCTGGACCAGCCTGAGGTTTTTATTTGGAAGATAGCTACAGCTTGTGTGTAAAAGTTTCCGAGGTACACCCCTTTATCATCAGTCTTTGCAGCTTGCAGATCTGCTGCAGCATAAAACTGTCCTCGTAGACACTCGTTGGTGGGTGTGGAAAAGGGATGCTGAATCATGTTCCTTTCAAACATGGCTGCCCAACAACCGTGTTCAAAAAGACGACATAGAGATTCTGACAGTTCCTAGTCTGACAACCTCCATGGTCTAGTTGTAGAGCATCCGCCCAGAGAGCAGAAGGTCCGGGGTTCAATCCCCGGCCACATTATAGCAAAAGACGTTGAAAGATGGTACTTGTTGTTACCCAGCCTAGCTCTCGGCATTAATCGGCTAAAACAAGACTGGTCGGCTCGGAGTCACGATACTGTGTCTGAGTGGGGTATTCATGTTATACACTGCGGCATTGTGTCTCAGTGGGCTAGCACTATAAACTCGTCATTAGTCCGGACTAGAACAAGGCGCCACACACTCACATGCATGCACGTCGCTATATAAGTGCAATAATCTTTGACGCGACACTAAAACCCATTTAACCTCCCCTCCTCGTGTGATTATCTGACACGTTTCTTCATTATTGAAGCTTGTGAAAAGAAGCTATTCAACTGAATCTATTTACACCGCTGTCTCCTTGTAGAGTATGCATGGAGACGGAAAAGTGTTTATCTGCTCAAATTAACAAAAGTTTGTCAATGTCAAGTTTCCTGCACAGTGCACAAGACACTGATATTGTGTAAGGGCATTGCCTGTGACCCAGCACGCTGCCTGACCAAAGATAAAATAGTAAATGAACTTGTTCAACACTATATTTTCAACACTTGTGTTGAATGGTCACTTTTTCTGGACGATTTCAACATTTCTTGTCGAAATATTATGGATACGATCTAAAGACAGCTACAACTATGTCTTAACGAAATTTAAAAAAAGGGCCAATGAAGATGGCTTCAAGTTTTCCAAATCCAAAACAAACAGTATTTACTTTTGTCGTGAAAGAAAAACTGCCACAGTAAAAGAGAAGGCCCAGTCCTGGTTCTCATATTTGCCCATCATCTGACATTCTTTCCACACATCCATTTTTTGAAATGTTAGACCCTCGACGCTGATTGGCTGATTAGAAAGTTCACCTGACGCGACCTTCTGTCTTAGATCGGTCTTCATGTAGACTGGTATCGTATCGTGTGTAAAAGGTCTGATTTTAATGATATTATTGCAATGATACGTCTTGTGTTCGAGGTGAGTGAGCTACAATTTAGGTGGTATCATTAAATACCTTATCCATATAAGTTTAACGAATCTCTATATGGATCATATATTCGGTTGATCGCCATAAGATTCTATCATGACAAAACAAATACAAAGATATCGTTATAATAGATGTGATGTCTGATGACTTTCCTTCGGCACAGTCGACTGTTTTCTGTGTATTGAATGTTAGAATTCAAGAATCAGTAGCAATCACAGATCGTCTTTATTTCCGAGCTTGTGTCCTTAAACAATACAAACATTTTACCACTATACTTGAATCATCTAACAGGGATAATAATAGAAAACTGCACAGCTAATACAACACTCAGTTCGCGCTGGAGAAATTGAAGCGACACTGGCATGTATTGTAAGTACACTTGAACGTTATAACTTCTACATTTAGAAGTCGGGGAAATGGGACGTCGTAAACAAGACTTGATAGAATAAAGTCAAATGAACGCATTATATATGTGCAAATATACAATTTACATATTACTCATTTAGTCACTGAATGTTCATCACGTGGTATATATATTTTTGTTAATGTTACAACCGCAGAAGGTCTCAGAAAGAGGTGCGCTATCAAATGATATGGATAGGGATAATGCGATAAGTCATGTCATACGTATTTGAAGTAATCAATTTGGTGTAAAGGGGAATAAAAGAAAGATCCTCAGGACAGTTTGTAAATTATTCACGAATGTCTTTTGTAGATCTCTACTACCAAATGCTGTCCAATGGAAACATAAAGAAGAAAGTGTTTTGAGTGTGGTACTGCGGACCTCTTGATATTTCAAGCAATTGAATCCGATATTTAACTTTGTTAGACTGTAGCTTAGTATACGAAAATATAAACATATGTAATACAAGGAGACATTTTCTTTCCAAATTGTTGAATATGAATATCCAGTTCGAGTCACATATGCAAAAAAAGATATTTGAATCAAACAAATAGCCCTTGATCACGTCAACATTGTGTGAATTTTTCTAAATTTATTGTCCATTTGCCGACATAGATTTGCTGAAACAGTATTCGAACATCGACTGTAGTTTTCTGTTTCGTTGTTGTCATCCTGGTTCCAGAATGAGACAATACTCGTGATCGAGCATTATTCTAAACAACACCTGTAAGAAGATAGGGACGGTCGGGTAGCCTAGTAGTTCATTATAAAGCTTTCCCTCGTCACGCCGAAAACCCGGGTTCGATTCCCGTTATGGGTACAATGTGTGAAGTCCGTTTCTGGTGTCCCCCGCCGTGATATTGCTGGAGTGTTGCTAAAAGCAGCGTAAATTCATTTCATGTGTAATGCTAGACAAATAAAACCAAATGGCAAGCTATTACAAATACCTAAAACCCTAAACCTTATAATCCTAATAATGTATAATATTTTTAGCGGCATTGTAAAATACACACGAATGAGTGAGATTATCACAGTGTTGTATGTTTTGTTTTGTTTGTTTGTTGGTGTTGAATGCCGCCCTCGGCCATATTCTAGCTTTATGACGGCGGTCTGTAAATAATCGAGTCTGGACCAGACAATCCAGTGATTGACATCATGAACATCGATCCACGCAATTGGGATCGATGACTTGCATCAACCAAGTCAACAGGTCTGACCACCTGATCCCGTTTGTCGTCACTTACGACAAGCATAGTCGCAACTTACGATAAGCATAGTAAAGGTAAAAAGTTGTGACTATACATGACAATACAACCAAACTTAGGCTTTAGTTCGAGGATGTTGGGAAAGGAAAGCTAATATTTCCATTTCTAAGCATTATGTCTTGTAGTCGTCCGGCGTGATATTTCAGGAATATTGAAATGTGGCGTAAAACAAACAAAGTGGCGTAAAACCATACTCACTCACTCTTGTAATCGTTTTCAAACATCTGCTTCCCTAAATATTTTCCTTGAGGCATTTATTAACCACAGGCAAACGACATGTGTACATTGTAACAATAACATGTAGAATTGCACTAAGTGAAGGTCTTGTGAGGTAACATGATCGAACAGGTACCCAATACAGTACATTATAACATACGAGATAACACAAGAAATTAGGAACTGAATGGTAAGCACTAAAATAATGCATACTTAGCCAATTCAGATTTAATCATTCCATTTTATTGTTCAGTATATGACATAACTTGTTCCATGTCTGTGATAGCAATCTTAGTCAAATTTAGTAGTTGTGATGTTTATTAGTATTCTTTTATGTTCCGTCATTTCAAAAGTAATTACGTGTGAGGGAGCAGTATAATTGATTCTCGGTTTCAGTATATATGTATCTCCATGTATGTGCTCATTCAGTCCAACGTTTCTGGGTGAATCTCAAGATCTGGACTTTGCATCAAAGTAAGTATTTGAATTATTTCTATAATACATGTCAACACATCGTTTAAGCATGATGCAGTTAATGTTTGTAGCTATAGCATGGACATACCTGTATTTTCATTAGCAGCACAAAATCATTTAATCCATATTAACATTGTACAACACACATATGTGTGTTGTGTGAGAGTCTTTTGATAATGTATGTTGTAGCAATATTTGTTCTATACGAGATGCGTGCGACTGTCAGTGACTCCTGTAAAAGATTAGTGAGGTGAGGTGAAATGGGGTTTAACGTCGCGTTCAAGATTATGGCACTTTTGTAGCGAGGTGCATGCATGTGTGCATGTATCTGTGTGGCTGCTTGTACTAG